GCGTGCCCTCCGCGCGGCCCGCTCTCTCGGACCCTGCAGGGCGTGGCCCTCCCCTCCAAGGCGCTGCTCAAAACTCTGCTCAAAACGCCCTAATCGCAGTGCCTTCTCTGTTTCCTTTCCCCAGCACTTGTCCTGCTACACCATGTGCTTTCTTACTTTATTCGATCTGTTTCAGCAGCAGCCTCTCCACCCGGAACGCTCACTCGAAGCAGCCCGAGAACGAGAACACACGCTCTGCAAGTATCTGAATAAACCAGCGAAAAATGAGCGCGTCACCCCATTCCTTACCACTTCGGGGAGCACAGCTGCTGCCAAGACAGAAAAGATGCGATGGCAGGTCCCTCCCCCACCGAGGTCTGAATATTCCAAATTCGTTTCGTGAGCCCACCGGAAGCCGAGCAGCGGACCCGTCCGAGAGAACGCCCCTCGCGGGCCCGCCTCCTCCGCCCCGTCCCTATCGCAAACCAAAGCGACTAGCACTAGGGAGACGGTGTCATGTACGCCCACCTGGAACACTGCTGACAGTGAAAGGAACTCTCTTCTCACACTAGGGCAGGTATCCCAACCCGGAACTACTCTGGACAGCCTCTGGCAGTGCCTGGCACTCAGCGGTAGAATGGGAGGGACCACTTCCGTCCGGCGCCTGCCCCAGCCAGTTTTCACGCCGCGAGATCCCGCCCGGGACCGGAAGTGACGCGCGAGGAGCGTTCTCTGGCCCGGTGAGTCTCGGGCCATTTAAATCTCGGCGGACGAAGCTGCGGACCTCGGGTTTGTGCGGGCTGCGGCCGTTCTCCGAGGGCTGCGGCCGTTCTCCGAGGGCTGCGGCCGTTCTCCCGGGGCTGCGGCAGTTCTCCGAGGGCTGCTGCAGAAGGGGGCAGAGGAGGAGGTAGGGAGACACGGGCCTGCCGCGGGAGAGCCTGGGGCGCCCGGGGGCTGGCCACCGGCTCTTCATCATGCCGGCCGTGGCCTGCGTGTAGACGAGGTAACCTAAAGGTGCAGTTTTGCAGGCTGTAAAGTGGGACCTACTAATGTTACTTAATAACAACACCGTGCTGACTCGAGGTCAGGTATTGTCACCAGCTTTACGTTTCAGTATTGCGACCAACTACGAGCTGGGCACTTCCTTCTTCAGAGTTGGACATCGCAGCAGCTAAGTAACTGGTTACGCAGCTGTGACTCGGGGTGGGGAGAGGTCAGTTATGGCGTTAGAGTCTGCTCTTGTCCAGCATGCTATGCTGCCTCCCATCGTGAATTCTGGCATCAAGCTAGGCAGCTTTGCTGTCGCCTGATCTGTGAGATGAGGGGTGTTCCGTTATTTCCAAAGGCAATTTCAAATGTAACTTCACTGCCCCGCTTGCCAGATTTAGAAGAGCCTGGAGAGTGGAGTGCTGTCAGGACGAGGACTCTGGAGGGTGGAAGAGGTATAAGGACATTAAAAGATCTTCCAGGACCGTAGGCTGGAGTGGTTAACAGAGGCTCCCCATCACTTCAAATCATATATTGAATAAATACTCACATCTCATCTATATATATAAAAGCCTAATATGCAAAGTGTCCCCTCGGGAGTTCCATTGCTCACTGTGACATGCGCTGACCACCAGGGGGTAGCGTGGAACCAAGGGAGGCCCCGGCTGCCAGCCGGCAGCTGCTAGGGACCCTACCTGTGCATGAATTTCATGCACTGGGCCTCTAGTATTAAATATTTTTGCTGTAGAAATGTCTTAAAAATTGCTTTTGAAATCATTGGGTTGTGAATCTTCTAATTAAATTTACTCTTGGCTATGCTTTCTTGTTAATTATTGTGCAGACTATGAAATGCTTCAGCAATTGAAGAATGGAGTTGGCAGTGTCATTTTTTGTATTGGATATAGCTGTCTAGAACAGCAATTTTCAATTAGTGCCACAAGAGTTTTTAAAACATGCAAGACCTGACTAGTCAGGAGCACTGACCTCTTTTCCCATAGATTGTCGAATAAAAATAACAGCCAACACAGCAATAGCTGTTGGGGTGAATGAATCAACATTATACAGTACCTATGTTTTTTGTCAGATAGGCAAAAAATATATTTTTTGGTGTGCCGCAGAATTTTAGTAATTAGTTTATGAGTGCCATGAGATGAAACAGCTTGAAAATTGCTGCTCCCTTAGGCTTACAAACTCTGAGCACTCTCCCACCTCTTGAGCCTAGCCTTCCTGTAGCAGGTATGGGCTCAGGGACAGCAGCCCTGCCTTTTCCTGTCTGGACTCTGCTCATTTGGAGTGACTCATCTGTGCATCTTATAAAATAAATATATAT